ACAGTAAAGATGAAAAGAGATGTGCAAGTGTGTTTGTGTGTGTGTGTAGGTGCGTATTTGTAACGTTGGAAAAATACACTTTGTTGCACCGATTTCATTTGTTCGAATGAACTGATGATTTTCGATTTAATTTGTTCAATATTCAATAGTAGTAAATTGTTTTGTTTTTTTTACTATGTTTGACTAACTAATCAAGGTCTCAATGACAGAAGAAATACATTTCACAAGAATGAACTAAAGCAAAATATATATCTAATTTAGTATGTGTTTCAATCAAATCACTGTATTCATTGTTACACTTGGTGTAACATACAATCTCTTGAATCTATTGACTCACTACTAATTGTCATCTCATAGTGTATTATTTATTGACTAAATATGAAAGAAAGAAATTTTTCATTTGTCTTAAAATGAGGTGTTTATTGTTAAAAAAAAAAGAAGTACTTAGGGCCTTAAAATCTAGATTTTGACTCATATTTTCACATCATTGTTGTGTAATAGTACATTTTTTTTAAATGTTTAAAACATATTTGTAGTAATAACATTTTTTATAGTGAAAATCAAATCTATTCTAACCACATTAATCAATACTATAGAATGATTTTTAGCAAATACTCAAAGCCTTGATTTATTTAATATTACGAATTGAGATGGTGGCGGAAATTCGTAGATCAGGTGGAGTTTTGTTCTCTAGCTCAGAGAACAAAATTCCTCCACAATTACGAGTTGATTATCAATAGTGAGACAATGAAAATCAATATGCACTGGTTGATTGTTGGACCAACTCCTCATGGAGCCCCTCTGGGGCTAAAGCCGGTCCCAAGCCCGGATAAAGGAGGAGGGTTGGGCGTGGGGTTGGCCATCCCCGACAAAAAAACTAACTCACTAAAAAACTACCAACGAGAAATGTTTAATCGTTGCATAGGGATCTACAACAGTGCAAACTTATGAGCCTGCTATAATTAGAATCCAGATCTTTTTTGAAATTACATCCTTGTCTATAATGTTTCAACTATAAAGATTGAGAAAGCCTCATTTGGAGATGATAGGTAATGCATCTGGTAAAAAGTGCGTTTTTGGGGGCCCACAAATCAAACACATGGATTGGATTTCGCGGGGTAATTTGTTAACCTCGTGCATCTTGATATGTGAGAGTTGCAACAAGGAGCAAGAATGTGTTACATGTATATAAGGAGCACATAAGTTCTGCACCTCATTCGTGTGACTTACATATTGGCATAATTACCCCAGGGGTAGATAAACTTTTTATGTACACTGATAACACCCTTAAGTTCCTCGGTGTACATATAGGTATATTGAACCTTTGAAAGTACTGATAGTCAGAACTCTCTTGAACATATTTGATATTTAATTTTGCATTCGAATAAACATCCAGAATATTTTACTAAAATAAATCATTTTTTCAGAAAACAAATTTCCTACTTACGCACTTACTCTTGTGACTCCCCATGGAGCATAGGCCGACGACGAGAATTCTCCAACTGACTCTGTATTATGTTCTCCTCTCCAATTGTTCTCAAGTGCTATTCATCCTTTTCATATCTGTATCCGATTCGCACCACAACGCGTTCTTCGGTCTGCCTCTATGCCTTTTGCCATGAGGACTTCAAGTTAGGCATTGCGTCGTGACCCAGTTTGATGATTTTCACAATGTGTGTCTTATCCACTTACAGCCATTTTCCTTTTTTACATCTAGCATTTGGTTTGTTATCTGTCACATTAGGTTCTTGCTGATGGTATCTGGCCAATGAATCCTTAGTTTCTTGAGTAGATACTGAATGTGCACCGCTGATGAGTTCCATACTATGACAAAACGGGCGTCCGATGCTTCCAGGCTTCTAATTGTGGTCTAACATTGATTGATTCATTAACTCTATGATTAAAAATCTATTAATTCTACACTACTGCAACAAAAAACTAGCTTTTACGTTACAGTTTTAGACGTTTACAGCGATTATAAATAGATATATTTCTATTGTGTATGATATTTGAATTTCGTCTCTAAACCTAGAAGTTACATTCTTATTTCTCATTAACTCATCCCCAGACTGTAATATTAGGATGAATATAATTTTCTGAAATCTTGAATGAACAATTGTTACACCACCATTAGAAACCTGGAAGCACTGCAAGGCCGTTTCACCCAAGGATGGGACTCATCATCAGTACACATCCGCGACTCCAAAACCAGGACCTTCGGTCTTGCTTGCGAACGCCTAACCTCTGGACCAATGAGCCGGCATCCAATGGTGTCCATTTTTGACTCTGATCAATCTTAAGATTTTGCACAACCTCATCCATTGTCTTCGGTAGGTAACTGACTACTGCAGACAGGGTTGAACTCCACTGATCACGTGTTCTCACTAGAACTCCGAGAATTCGCTCAGGAAGCTAGTAGACACTTGTGAGAACATTGTTATTGCCTAACGCCCATCGTAGCTGCTATCTTGATGTGCTGGCTGGAACATATGTTCCTGAAGGTTCTACCAGGCCAGGCAGGTCGATTGGAGAACGATGAGACTAAAACCAGCTACTCAAGGTCTGAGGGCGAAGTCGTACTGCTGACTGCAGAGGGGTGTGACAGCAGTAAGGTGTTTCCCTCGGACAACCAGCATCTGCAGCGATACTGCCTTCTCACAAGGAAGGAAGGGTTAGAAAAGGTCGACCCTAAAAATCTCACACCTCACCCTACCTCACGGATTTCCTTCTCCTTGGGTAAGGGTGCCCACTAAGGGCTTTCAAGAGCGGAGCTAACACTAAAAAAACTTCTCATAAGAAAGCCGTGCGTGACCGGCCTCAAGCAGTTGTACCTTGGACTCTGCGGTCACGCACCCAGGTCTCTAAGACCATCACTAACCTATCTTCCTTTTCAGGTCCCTCAAGAAACAACCTTCCACGGTGTGGGCAGCCGGGAATCGACAATCGCCCTCATACCCGTCCCAGCACACGAGACCATATTGGTTGAAATCAAATCCTTCCTACACCCACGCATACCTCTCTTCTCTCCACAACTAACTCTACTCACATTTTCTAACGCTCTGTTGTAACAATGATTGATTCAAGATTTCAGTAATAACCAATAATCTTCATAACTGTATAATGAGAAAATTTATAGTATTTTTTTTTTATTTTCAAAACACATGATAAATAAATAAATGAATGTTTATAGTCTAGACGTATGATTAATGTAATCATAGGTGTAGAATATTTATCAAATCATTGTATGGCTTATTTCATTCAACAAAAAAGTAACTAATCATTCATACTTTATATTTTGCAAAATGTCGTTTTATTCAATTTATTAATGTTAATATACATTTCACATAGTACACAATTTGAGTTTTGTGTGATAAATTAGCTAAGAACTTTGATCAATAATGTGTTTTTAATAATAAGGTATTTATATACAAGATCAAAACTTTAGGGTTCGATATCTTAATGGTTAAGATAGTACGCTGTAAATTGCCAAAGAATCTTATACTAGAATGTAACGGATATTTAGTTCTGTTAGATTTTAAATCATGATTTGGCTAATGATTTGAAAAGTTGAGAATTAGATATATTTAAAAATTAAAATCGTGAATCCAGTCACCGTCATACCACCTGTGAGCAGCAAGAGTCATGGATGCGTATTGCTGATGAGTCCCATACCAGGACGAAACAGCTGTCTAGTGCTTGCAGGTTTTCTAAAGTTGGTTTAACAATGATCAATTTATGATTTAAATCCGTACAAACAATGATTTCCATATCTGTAGAAATGTAGAAGTATAAATCATAATTTCAATAATCATCTGATTAGAAAACTTACCTTTTAAAGGGGGTGTATAACAGAAAGGTTGAAACGACTCTGGTCAATATTTTCTAAATTCAATCTATCTGTGTTAGATCATTTAATATTGTTGGTGAAATTGAGTTAACTGTTTATAATTTCTGCGTGTTAATAAAATGAGGTTTGTGTAGATTGTGATATTTTCATGAGCAGATTTTACAAAGATCACTAATTGAAACCTAGAGGCACTAGATCGCCATTTCGTCCTAGTATAGAACGCGTCAGCAGTATACAGTCATACCCCTATCCACAACTCCCACATACAGGAGTCAAACACATGACCTTGAGTCTCATATGAAAACTTTTAACCTCTAAACCTGTTGGGGATGTTAGATCCCCAAAACTCGCTTGATAAATGCCTCAGTTTTGGATTTCACGTCTGCCAACAGGGGTTGATCAGTTGACCTTGAGATTTCATTTCCCACCAAGAAAATCCTCGCTTGTGATTGTCTGCTGTGTATTTTAGTGTGCTATTTTGGTGACTGTCCCAAAGACGTTTCTATGATGTATAAATAAACGAGAGTTGTATGCTTGATTGTATTGTGTGATTGCTTGGTGTTTGTAGAATATAATTTCTATGCTTACAAAGTCTTCTATCTTCAGCTTGAGATTCAGGGTAGCCTATCTGGACGCTGGTTCCTTGTCTCATTCGCGTTTTGTCGACTAAGATGAACTCGTAATAGCTTCAAGCGTACCTAGTGACGAACCCTACAAAACTACTAAGCTAACATCTAACAATGTTAATATACGCGACTTGAATCAATCCACAACCATGCTCAACCCTTATTCATTGCTTGCAGTAGACAAGTAACTTCATCAATTCCAGTTTCTTATTCTAATTCTCAACATTACATATTTTGTAAAGTAGTCAGTCACAAATAAATACATGATTTATATTTAAAAAAGAAATATTTTACTATCGAATTCAAAAAATATTCACATATTCTATTTCAAATAATTTATTACTTTCATAATCTCAATGAGTAAAAAGCATGAGAAACGTGTGACATTTTTTTCATATGAATCCAAAATGATTATGATTAGTTTTTATTAGAAAAAAAATTTTTTTTCTTTTTTTAATAAAGAAATAAAAATTAAAATAAAATTTTTTTCTTTTGAATTTCTCTTTTTTTTTCTTTTTCTCTTAAAGAAATTGAATACAAAATTTAAACAAATTGAAGGAGAAATAAATAAAAATGATGAAATAATTGAACATTTAAAATCAGATAACATGATTCTGCATAATTTAATACAAGTAAGTTTTGATGACATGATGATGATTATAAAATTATTATTATTATTAGTTTTTTCATTAAAAATATAATTAATAAAATAAGAAGAGGAGGGTATTGTAGAGATTATTATATTATTAGAGATTACATCATGTTTTTGTCATAGTAGTTAACTAACTACTGGGGATAAGTTCATGCAATATCCTGGTTTGCTTCAAGTCAGACGTTAATACCGATGGACGCCAACCCGGCGGTAGAGAGGTTAGCGTTCATGAGCGAGAGTGAAGGTCCTGGATTTTTATTCCTGAGTTCGGGGGTCATTGATGTGCACTGCTAATGAGTACCATACTTAGACGAAACAGCCGTTCAGTGCTTCTGTGGTGCGAGCTACTTATAAGTAGTATATGACGTGAGTGTAAACGTAATGTCTGGCAGCAGAAGATGGAGGAAGATCAAGAAAGGAAGAGTGGGAACACAATGGAATTTGTATGAAACGCATGAATAAGTGAAATGTCAGACAATGGATTGATGATTGATTGAAGATTTGCAAATTAACCGTTTACGATATGGTTTTCCTATTTTACTGATTAACTCTGTAATTTTCGTTAAATACAATTCGGTTGTCCTCACCTGTGTTCTCCTTCACTACACTTCCATGTTTCTAATGGTAATCTGACATTGATCTACTTATGATATAAATGAAACTTAACAATCAAAACTGTTGTGTAGTAAGAAGTAATGAACATTTGTTTTTGTCTCATTATGAAAGTGTTGAACACTAGCACATCAGAGATCGAGTGCAAATGTTTTAATATTGCGTGCAGGTGTTTAACTTGTAGACCGCTGTTACCATTCAGAACTAACTTTAAAGTACAATTCAAGGAGTTGTAGAGAAAAGCTGTAATAATTGATAGGAAATAGATATTTGCTTCAAAGGATAAAAGTTAGTAACGCAACACTGTGAATCAAATCGATGTTAGACATATACAGTATTAGATGTTGGTTTACTCGCAAAAAGATTTGAAGATCATCTGTTTGATCTAGAATAAAGGCATAGACAAGCTGGACTGAACAGCAGTTAACTATCGACTGCTAGTTTTCAATGATTGTTTAACTAAATGAAATATTAGATGATATAATCATGAAAATCAAAAAACTGAACAACCATTTCCTGCGTAATATGTGTGTATCTTTCTCATTTGAAACTTTCTCATAGTTAATGCTTCTTTTGAGTACATTGATCTGTATTCTTACATTTCTTATTGTATTGCACACTGACACTTAATCATTGTATCTTATCTTTAGTATTCTAATTAACACTGACCATTCAGTTAGGTGATCGTTCAAGGTAGTTGTGAACATTTAAACTGCTTTCGCTTACAACTTAAACAACTATCTCGGTGATATTATCAATTAGAACAACACATAAGCGAACAATATTGTTTTCGATTAGATCGTCATCAGGCTTTACTCTAATATACATGAATATTTATATGAAAATGTTAAACCAATCAAGGCAATTTGAGTGATAATCACAATGAAATGAAAAAGATTACGTCACTACATATAATAGGCAAAAGTACAAGTGGATAGTAGGAAGACAGGTGTACTGATAGTAGTAAGAAAATTATAAAATATGATAACCAAAATTTTATCAATGATTACATGAAAAAAATTAAAAATTAAAAATCGAAAACATGTAAAATAAACAGATGTATGGAGTAGATATCCCTAAAACGCTGATATAATTCGTTTAAATCCTTAAAACTTATAGAACATTATTGATGTATTGAGCTAAACAGAAATGGTTGTACAAGAAGATCACTTGATGACCAATAGAAATGGATTTATTTTCCAAGAGAGTGAAGTATATTTATATTGATGAATATGATTTGGTAACCAAATAGATTTTCACTTCCAATCTTTCCTTCTTACTCAAGTAGTCAGTTTAGGGGTTAGTGCGTATACAAATGAGTATTAATACATGTGATTCGCTTATCCAATAGACTTCTTCTTCCACTCCTACCTTCTCGTTAAAACTGTAAGCTTTCGATGGTTAACGTGTATCATGTTCAGATCCCAAACACCGGTCATCATAACAGTTAAAACTAAAAATCTAATTGTTTACTTGTGTAAATAAAACCATTATGTTAATATACCAACTATCGATCGATGAACTTAGTCATGTTCGAATGTTACAAATGTATTCCGATTGAATTCTTTCATATAGTTCAAATAAATATAGTTAAAAGTAATGCGAAATTATTCACAGTGACTCAGATCAATTCATTTGTTTGTCTCAAATAATCATTTATTTTGTGTTACGCCTGCACGTAAACACGTCAACTTGATACACTTGAACTATTACGAGTTTACCTAGTCGGAAAACGAGAGCGAGGATCGAGGATCAGGCGACACGACATGCTACTCGAATCCGATTATCCCAACCCCAATATTGAGTCAAAAATAAGACAACACTTGATATCAAGTAGGACGTGTATTCTACAAGCATCCAGAAAGTACGAGGTCCGAAACCAGAAGAGAATCCGGACCCCGGACTAGGGATCCGGGACAGGGTCCTGGTCCTGGTCGTGATCATAAAACGTTACAGATAATGCGTATTTATACATTTTGGTCGAATAGGAAACAGCATCGAAGTCTGTGACATTGACAGTTAAGACGACCAATAGGAAGCAACATTTGAAGTGACATTGATAGTAAAGACGTCAACTAGGAAACAACATTGAAGTACGTGACATCGATAGCTGGGACGACCATAATATTGACCAGTAGGAATTAACCAATAGGAATTGACCAATAATTCTCTTAGGATATTGGATGAATATCCTAAGATTTTGATTCTATCTGTTGTAATTATTCTTTCTTTATTTACCATGCGTTTGAATAATACTACTATTTTAATATGATTATTTCGTGACAATGCCAAGACTAATGGTGAAATTGAATGAGAAACTAGTAGTTGTTGTCACTGACTTGGGCTTCTATCTAAGATCGGATCATAGGTAGCTGGATCTCAATAGTTCTATCAGATGAAAACTCTGATATATTGCTAAGTTGTCTGAATGCTTTGAGTGTAAACTTAAGATCATTTAAGAGGTGTATGCTTCTCATTGAATGTAAAATATTATTTTAAGATTGATTTATTTCAAACAACTAGCCTGATTTTAGGTAAAGAATCAGTTGAGCGATCTGACATCTCCTGTTATCTTGTGACAGTCATATTCCATGTATTTTGAGATGGTTGAGAAAATTTGTAGCACAGGTGGATGACTGTGGTGGTGTTTTGTTCTCTGTGCTAGATATTTTGATGGTGAATTTTATGTCATCGAAGACGCTGTTAATCCGATTGTAGATGTTCCCCAGCTCCAGCCAGAAAAGGGAGTCAAACAGCAGTCTATCATTCCTCGATATACTAATCACCAGAACTAATACAGGAAAAACTGAAAACTCAAGTATTTTAGAAGCCAACCTACACAGACGTTATTCTCAATTACGGTAGCAACAACCCAAGAATCCACAAAATCAACTGCATAAAAACTTTGTTCAAGCGAGCGAAGACACACTGCGGCACAAAAGAAGCACTAAAAAACGAGGAAAAATATCTTGTGACTATCTTCCAAAAGAACGGCTATCCACGGAATCTCGTCGAAAAACGCTAACCGAAATCATCAACAGTAACGAAATCAAGTATAGGAACCAATAAACGGATCATCCTATCATACATAAAAGACATACTGGAGCATACAGCACGACTACTGAAACCATTTGGAATAGTTGTGGTACACAAACCAACAGAATCACTTCAATCAATCCTATGTAGACCAAAGGACAAAATGACAAAGGAAGAAAAACCAAATATCATCTACAAAATAAATTGCTCAAACTGTGAAAAACACTACACAAGACAAAGTGGACGGCCTCTTCAGCTTCGTTTACGTGAACACCAATTATCATTCAAACGCCACGACAATTCTTCGCTTATATTAATACATAAGGACAATTATGGGCATATTTTCGATTGGAACAATGTGGAAATACTGAATTGGGTGAGCACAAAAAACACTCTAGAATTTCTAGAAGCTTGGCGCTCAGGTCAATCAACCAATTAGGAAAATCATAGGTGACCTAGGATCAAGAAACAGATCAGAAGGGGGATAAAATTAAAACAAAGGTGCAAACAACGACAGGTTTAAGGTCAACAGCAACCAATCAATATCGAGGTTAACAGAATAAGCTACAGGTCAAACGTGGAGAAATTCGAATGCTTCACTTCTATGTGAAGTTTGTGCTGATGATGTTGTTCAGAAGAAGAGCAATGAAAGCTTCACAACCAAAACAACCAGCTCAGAGAACGAAACACCACTATAATATTCTATGTATACCTAACACAATAGTCCAGCTGCATTTATTATTCGTGTAAATATTTCGTTCAGGACAGTTTTAAAGTCTTGTTCTTTGATTTCATTTGTGTCATGCTGAGGTGTAATATTCAGTAGATCTAGAGTTTTCATTTTCCATCATATACTTCTCAACTTGTTGAATTCATCTCATTATCTCTTATTCCTGTGAATATGACAGTTAGAATAGAACTACACTCACATCTGGAGATATTTTTGTTTATGAATGATTCTATTGACTTTATGCCTTCTTCCCTTCACTGTAGTCTATGAAAAAAGATCAAGAAATGTTTGACATGGAAAAAGCAAACCTTACAGCAACAAATAAACACTTGGAACAAGTGATTTTAATAAAAATAGAAAATGAAAAGAAATTACTAGAAGATAATCAAATTTTAAATCAATTAATTCAAGTAAGTTGAATATTGACTTGTGAATGAATATATGTAGCTTAAATGAAATGCTTTGTTCACTTTTAATTATTTTGAAATTTAGTGCAGATATTACTATCCCAAACACAACAACAACAAATACAGGTGAAGAAAGCCAGTGTAGAAGCACCCTCAGCAGCACTAGCAGGTCTCAGTATACATAAAGGGAAAAGCAAGAGTCTCTGACATAACACAACATGTGTCAACCTAATTACCCTTGATGGCAATGACTCTGAGGACATAAAAACCTTTACATATCTGGACAGTATCATTGACGAGCAAGTTGGATCTGATGTAGATGTGATGGCGTGGATCGGGAAAACAAGGGCTGCATTTCTATAATTGAAGAACATCTGTAACTCAAAACAGCTATCGACAAACACCAAAATCAGAATTTTCAATACAAATTTAAAGACAGTTCTACTGTATTGGGCAGAAACTTGGAGAAACACGAAAGCCATCATCTATAAGACACCAGTGTTTGTTAACAATTGTCTACGCGAGATACTAAGCATCTGTTAGCCAGACACTATCAACAACAACCTTCTGTGGGAGAGAACTAACCAGATTCCAATGGAGGAAGAAATCAGAAAGAAGAACTGTAGGTGAGCAGAACTCAAATCACGGAAAGCACTCAACTGCATTACAAAGCAAGCTCTAACTTGGAATCCCTAAGGATAAAGGAAAAGAGGAAGACGTAAAAAACATATTACATTGAGAATTGGACACAGACATGAAAAGAATGAACAGTACTGTTCAAGGAAGGTCCAGGACAGAATAAGTTGGAGAATACTGGTTAGCGACCTATGCTCCATTGTGAGTAACAGGCGTAAGTAGGTAGAAGTTAGTGTAGCTCTACAATATTTATGGAATTAGGAACAGTTGATTTCCTGTAATAAACCCAATTTAAATTTGTAAAACGATGGTCAAGATAAAAAGAATAATACAACAACACGCTCAATTTTACATTGAACACAGACTTGTTATAATAAACACCTAATTTATTATATATGAAAGGATTGATGAGTTTCATTGATACAATGCTTCGATCAATGTTAGACCTACTATTAAAAATCTGGAATCTCTAGCCGACCATTTCGTCATAGTATAAAACTTATTCATCAATACGCATCCACGAACCCGCTAGTAATAGGGGTCGAATCCAGAAGCTGGGTCGTGGATGTGTATTGCTGATGGGTCTCTTTCTGTGGTTAAATGGTCATCCAATGCTTCCGATTTTCTAATAGTGGTCTAATATTGATCAATTTATGATTTGAATGAAACTCAACAACCTTCACATTTCTATGATGACAAATTAGGTTATCATTGTAATTTTTTTGTCAAGTCGAAGGCCAGCCACCTGAATAGAGTAGGTCGTCCATATGACTTATTTTGTAGGAACATAAATAATTTTCTAAACGTCTTCATATAACTTGCCTTGTTTTGTCTGAGTCTTGGTAATACATTTAAGGAAATACTGTTTATCAATAACGATATCGTGATTATTTATTTCAACTGAGAAGATGTTCTCTGCGGTGTCTGTGCAAATATGTCTAACCCACAGAGCTTGTCCCACCTTGTGGACAAACCAATTAGCTTTTCCTGCCGAGACATTATTCACACGTATGTAAACCTTGTCAAGTGTATGTGTGCACTGCTTACTTCGCTTATCTATCACATGTCTAGCCTACTATTTTTATCTGACTATAAGTAATCAGTCATTCCCGATTGCATTAAGTTGGCTCACTCACCGCTCTCCACGTCGCTTCGCATTGCTTGTACGCTTTTTATCCCCATATCTGTCTGTGTGAACATTTGCACCATATAAATTCATGCGCGAAACCGTGTTTGGCTTCCTATTAACACCATTGCACATCTGAAGTTCGCTTAAGTATAAGTATATACGGAAATACAATGGAAGATTTATTTCGTAGCATCTTAAATCATTCATGGGAACTGGAGTTAGATCGTGGCGAGCCACCGAATTAAGTGATGAGCCTTACTCCTAATTTAATGCAGCCATCAAACTCTCTGTAAAATAAAACTGTGAAAAGAATCCATCTCGAATTTGAAAAGAATTAATATTTCTGTTAGATTGTAAACTAACATCATCTCTAATTATCAATAATCGTGAATCGATCATTCTTAGGCAACCATTAGAAACCTTGTAACATTGATTGTTCGTTACATTCTCCAATGGGACTCAACAGAAGTGCGCATCCTTTAACCCCCTCCCCCACGGAAATCAGATCTTGCACCTTCAGTCTCACATGCGAATACTTAATCTGTAGACCATTGATTTTATTCGAAACCCAATGATCTTTAAAACTAACTCTATGATGAAAATTAGATCATAAACAGAAAATAACTATTTATCACAAGGATAAATAAATATGCATATATATATATATATATATATATATATATATATATATATATATATATATATATATATATATATATATATTCAAAATAGAGTTCATGTTTAGTCTAGAAATACTGTTGATAATTTAAGATGAAACTATTTTATTGATCAAATTATATTTGAATTATGTTTTTTTATTGGTTTGATTATTATTTTATTATTTAAAACGACACACCTCTATTAAATCAATAATTTGTTTATTAGTTGGCATTAATGTTGGATGTCTCAATAATGTGAAATACTAAAACTTATAATGACGATTAGCATGTGCTTCCCCCTCAAATATTTAGTTTCGTCAAAGGGATTCTCAAAGTCCTAATGAGAATCTGTGAGACTATGGAGTAAAGTCATATGTAGAATGTAAGGCATTTTCATACTGTACACCATGGACGATAGTTGCGTAAAATTGTAGAAGATTGAAGTTAGACATTAACTTCATTGGATTCCAGTCCAATGGTTTGAAGGTTGAGCGTTCACTCGTTAAACCAAAGGTCCGGAATGCTGGGGATTGTGGATGTGCACTGCTTATGAGTTCCACACTAGGATGAAATGGCTGTCAAGTGCTTCGAGGTTTCTAATGATGGTCTAACATTGAGTGATCTATAACTTCAATGAAACTTATAATGTATTTCAATTAAATACTGTTAATGATGAATGGTGATTATATTCATACCCATGTATCAAACTGTTTCAGTGATGTTAGCTGATTAAAGATAGCAGTATATAACGTGGAAATAACAGGCTAATTTAATAAACCATGAAGATTAGTTTAGTTTGAAGATGGTCTGTTGTTGTGGAGTGAAATGAACCTGTGAATTATTGAGAGTCAAGATAGTATTTCAATCCTCTTTTCGGATAATTTAGTAGTAAGCACTTGTTACTCAATCATAGACTGAACTCAGAAGAATGCGTTCATTTAGTTAGAACCTAGTAGGTCAAGTATTCTTTCATTATTTTGGGTAACCGATTAGTGATATGCCAATTCCAGCAGATAGAATCTTTGCAACAAGACTTCAGTAATGTATCTAGAACATAAATACTAGTTAGTTTGTTAGTTAGTTAATTAGTACGCCACTCGTTGGAGCACATCTGTTACCCCTAATGGAGCATAGGCTAACGACCCAGATTTTACAACCAACTCTATCCTTGTCTCCTTTTTCCAATTGTATCTAAATGGTACTAATTCTTTTATTGTCTGTTTTCTAATTCCCGACGCAACGTGTTCTTTGGTCTTCAATATTCTCTTTTGCCTTGTAAAGTCGAAGTTAGCATTCGCCTTTTCGACGCTGTTTAAGGATTTCTGCAGTCTGATACACCTCCAGCGTGTTTTCTGATTTCTTCCTCGCCCAGAAGCTGATATTTTCTCTTCCAGAATAGGTTGTTGCTTATGATATTCGGTCAACAGATTCAGAGTATGTTGATAGATGACTGTTTATAAACACCTATTTATTTTGAATGATGGCTTTTATAGCTCCCCTAGTTTCATCTCTATACAATAGAACTGTCTTGACGTTTGAACTAAAAAATTCCTGAATTCGGTGTTGGTTGACAATTGTTTTGAGTTCCAGATGTACGATAACTTCAGAATATTTAAAAAAATCAAGAGTTTTGTAGTTGCTTGTAGTTCAGCACTTCTGAATAAATTGTTGATATAAAGAAGCCTGTGCGATCAACTCGTATGACCCTTAATACTGAGTAGTTGTAGAATTTAGTCCAAATACTGACTGTTTCACCCTAGATTGTCTTTATAAATACCGATGATCAGCCTACTAAGCACCCTCGCGGTGATATCAACTGAGAATAATTCCCAACAATTATTAGTCCATGCTCACTCGATCAATAAGTCGCTAGTTTCGAACAGAACGAAACAAAGTTTGAGTGATAGATTTTTTAATAAACCATCAGTAACTTAAACAGAAAAGAGAACAATGCTTAAAGAGCAAGTTTTGTTTTACCACAGAATAGCTTACAATTCGAAAAAAAATACAAAGCTATCACAATTCAAGGATTTCATAATTATATAATAAAAATATCAACCGTAATTACAGGTAGAACAGTTTTGTAAATATCATTACACTATTTATTACGTCATCAAGTATATAATTTTAGAGGTTGACATTCAGCTAGAAGGGGTACCTTATGTTATAGAGGAACTTGGACAAAGGAACTTCAGTGAGGAGAGATTGAATGAAGGAAGAACAACAAACAGCACATGAGCTGACGATTTATCCACAGTCAATAATCAATAATCAGCGATTAACGCAAGCGTTAGATTTAGAGAATCTAGAACTGCGAAACTAGCGTAGCGGATAGCTTGAAAAATTTACACTATTTACTTCATTTCAATGTGAACATTAAACGGTGTGACTAAATCAATAAAAATAAGGTAATTTAAGTTAATTAAGAGAATTAATCAAGAAATATGTGGTGCATAGGTATTACTCGCATGTTCAAATACATGCATAGATAGATAGATAGATAGACATAGCTGAGCATAAACACATACACATCATAACATATACTATTGACCTATCAGATAGTGGAATCACATGACTTG